AAAATTCTCTTCTATCAATGAGATAAAAAAAGCGAATTGACCGTCTACCAAAATGATTATGTTCGCACCGTCGACAACTGGTCACACAGAATTTTACTGATTTTCAAAAACAAAAAGTATACAATTAAAATAAAGTTTATTTTGTAGATTATAGAAGTTTTCACACTACATATTATGGTACATTTTGTTTTTTTTTAATAAGACGTATCTAAAGATTAAAATATGAAATACAAAATGCAGCCATTTGTTATTTGTCACACGTAATATAGTGATATTTCAAATACAAACAATTTGTGATCTATTGCAGTCAATAAAACATTAGATTTAATCGTGTTCTACTTCGAATATGTCTTCATATCATACAAAATTCGTAGATGATTATTTATTTTCTAATGCTAAGATCATATATTTTGTGTTGTTTGTAGTTCAGATGTTTCATTTAACAATTACTCTTATACTCTTAATTCAAAAGAAAAAAAAATGCAACCTTTTATTTTGTTAACTTGAAAACGATATTAAAATGTTAACTTTTCTTTCTTCAAATTTAGGAATTTATGCAACACATTTATCTCTACTAAAACTTCTCATACCAACGAAAAATAATCTTTGCTAAAAAACACCACGAAAACCAATGCATGCATAGAATCAGTGATGGAAGAGTATAAAATATTTGTGCTATTCTTCATATAGTTTGAGCAAGGGGGAAATAGCTGAAATCACATCCTTTTTTGATTAAACTGATTCAAGTAATTGCTTTTTTGCTTTAAAACTGATAAAAAATCATCTATTACTTCCTTTTTTACTTTAAATTGGAAGTCATATTCATTGTAAGACTAATAAAATAAAAGAAAATCAAATTTTTATCCAAAACAACTCTTGATAGACTATTTAATTTAATGTAAGCTTCTGAGAACATATTCCTTTTTTTCAATAGCAGAAGTTTTGTTTTTCATAAAAATCTAAAATGTATAGATAAAAAAAAAACAGACGGATACTCTCATGTTTCATCCAATTTCCACAATATTCTGATGTTGCAGAATCGCGTATAATGGTATAGATATCAGAGAATTGCGCTGGTGGTTCCATAAGCAACTGCCATATTCCATAGTATCATATAGATTAATTTAGAATCATATGTATGGCTGTATATGAGATTGAAGCTTTTAAAATAGCTGCAACTCTTTGGAAAACATTGTTTTTGCCATTCTAAACAACCTTATTAGATTTAGTTTCATTTATAAAATTTAAGAAGAGTTTAGATTTCAATGCTCCATAGATAATTCTCATCGATTTCCCAAATCGAATTTCATGTTATTTCTTTGATAGATATGCATAGTGCTATTATTCATTGATGTTATAATACTCGCAATATAAGAGGTGAAAGAAAGATTCTTATAGCCTCACACAACGGAGGATTATTACAATGCGCACAAAATTCAACATCTATATATGCATGTTCCGCCACTAAATGGTTAACGATGATATAATGCTTATATTAAGCCTCAAAAGCTCTAAAATCTTTTATTCAGCTTTGATTTATATAAAAAAAAGACATTTTTCAAGAACATACTCATTTAAACGGCGGAGATCTTATTTATTAGTATGAGATTGTCAAGTGAATAATTAGAATTTAAGTTTTTCATTAAACTGTCGTAAATGCGAAGAACTTTATTATCATAAAGAGTCTTTACGAATTTTAATTTGATGAAATTATAATAATATTTAGCTTATCAGAAG